TTGAATTTATTTAATACACGAGTTTCACAATTTGAGTTGAATTACTGAAATAAATGAACTTTTCCACGACATTCTAATTTATTGAGATGCACCTGTACATGTTCTTTTTTTATTAACTGTTAAGCTTTGGGGTCAGCAGTGGAGTAATGGCTGCTGAAATTTCAGCTTTGCCATCACAGGAATACATTACTTTTTAAAATATTAACATCTTACCGACCCCAAACTTTTAAGTGGTAGTGTATTTTGTCACTTTTGTTAAATGCATTTGTATGTATACGTCTTTTGTCATTATAAATGAAATCTTCCTTTGGCTGAGTCTGTGCTCCGCGTTTTGGTAATTTTGTTCGATCAGTTGTTTGCCTGACATCGCTGAGATTGCAGACCTCTCCAGCATATCCTGTTCACCAGCCAATCACCTAGAATGGGTGGAGTCAGCTGAAGCCCCGCCCATCCCTCTCAGCAGAGGACATCCACCCTGTAACAGCACCCCACGCAGCCCAAAAGGTAAGCTGGGAATCAGAAAAATGTAACATGAATCAAGATTCAGAATATGTTGTGTGGGTCAGTTTCGTCTAATTGTGAGCACTGTTTAATTACAGGCCATAGGACACACCTTAAAGATGTGCAGGTTGGCACTGAGCCCCTCCCTCACCTCCAGAGCTTGTTGGACACGTCACCATGGGGCAGTGCTCCATCCCATACTGTCTGCACAGAGAGTTACACCACAGTCAGTGCAGGAGACAGCAGCACTGTCAGTCAATGAATCATGATATTTGAATAATATATTTCTGTCAACAATCATATCAGTATTGGGCAATAAATGTGACTTTTTATGTTTTCCATATCAGACCAATAAGTAAAATAGACTGATATACAGCTGACAGTTTATACTCAAATAAACACCCCAGATTGTTTACATCAGTTGGCCTAAATAATGTTAAACCTAAAATGTCTACTTAGAGCCTGATTTTTTTCCAGGGTACACAGGCATTTTATTTCTATAATCTTTCTTATACTTTTGTAATTTTTTATTTACATAGTGTAAAAGAATGTTGTCTATGTATTAAAAATAAGAATGAAAAAATAAGTGAAAAAGAATAAAAATAAAGTTTATATAGGAAAATAATTAATAAATAAAATGTGATGCAAAAATTGAGCAATAATTAATTGATTTTGTTTCATCATGTAATTTATTCCTTTATTTATATTTATATATATTTATTTGATTTACTATCTATCTATCTGTCTGTCTGTTGAGAGACTTTTAAGGTGGGTGTTTTTTGATAATATCTTTGACCTATATTTCAAAAGTATTAATAATTTCAGTTATTGCCCAAAATGTCAGTATCAGTGCATCTCTGATTTCTAATGTGCTTTGAAATGTCATCTTTCCTGGCATAATATGATACTACACTCATCAAATATCTTAAGTATTATTATTTGTTTTATGCTATTGACATCTCTTCTGTGTGTTTTCGCAACTTGAATTCACTCAGAGCTTTTTCAGTAAAGACAACTTCTTTATATTATATACAAATGCTTGTTGTTGTTTTGTTGTAGAAGCTTGCATCTGATAAATGTAAATGTACCATTATCTTATTTTTGCATCAATATAATCACAGCTGGAGCATTTATATTGATATCCTGCTTCTCTTTTCAGACAAATGCCTCTGTGTCCAGCGTCCTGCAGTCTCCAGTAAAAATCAACATCTGTAAGGATGGAAGAGAGGAAATAGACTCTTCCTCCAGCGGTAATGCAGAGTTCAACACTGCCAGCTCTGGAGCCAGACAGTCCACTGAGACCAGCCAGGGGCCCAGTGAAGAGACAGAGCATCCTATTGGTTTGACAGTTTGTTGTTCATTGCAATCATTTTTAAAAACTTAATAATGTATTTGCCGTGATGTGAGAATCAAACTGTTTGATTGTGTTTCCTGCAGAGAATAATGATGTGGGTGAGGAGGGAGAGGAGGTAGGTGATGATGACCCGTCAGACTCTGAACGGCAATGTGAGCAAGAGTCCTCTGATGAAAAGGTGTTTGATGATGAAGACATTGCAGAGAAGATGGAAGGATGTGAGGGTGAAAACCCATGTCAGATACATGGTAAGACAGATCTACAGTAGGGCTGTGTTTTTATTAACTTAAATGAGGAATTGAAGTAATGTGCTTCTGTATTTTCAGACCATCATCCAGATCGCAACTCTGCTGATAATGCAAACTCTCAGAAAAGAGATAAGAGTCACAGCCTTGATGAAACTGAGAGGTAAAACCCCCAATACTTTGCCGTAGTAAAGGGATTTACTTTACTAGTTGTAAACTTTATGACACAGTGATGACAAAAGAAAGAAAAAGTGACATATATCAGTGAAATGGCTTCTATTAACATTTAGAATAGTCTATTGTCTACAGCTGTGAGGAATTTATGGGGTGGATGTTTTTTATATTTTAACTGAATAATTTGTTAATTTTTTAGATCCATGTTAGTAGGTTCTATTATTAGTTTTTTCCTCTCTTAAAACTTAAATGAAGTTGCTTCTACTTTGAAATGGCATATGAAATCTTGCAGGGCAAGCTCCACCCTTGATGAGGATCTACAAAGAATGTTTTTGGAAAGAGCCACAGAGCAGAGAAACCCTAGAGACCCAGGGTCCCTGTGAGTGCTGAAGCTCCATGTTTTTCTGTGCAAACACAAAGACTAGCCTAGAAGTGTCTGGATTTTTATAAATAGGATTAAATATGTCTTCTGAATGATATTTTACTCTTAAATTATGTCAAACATTAATCTGTGCTTGGTCTAGCTTGTCTGACATAAAAGGAGAGGGGGATGTGAGAGAGGACTTGGGTTGTCCAGAAGGGGACTACATAGAGACAGCAGCAGGTGCGTGGATAGAAGTCTTTTTCTAGTCTCCTTTCAAGGGTTAGTACAGACTACCCTTTTCAGCAAACATTGTGATGGTTTTTTTTGTGGGCGGAGCTTAGGTGGAGGCAGAAAGATTCCCCTGACTGCTTCTCTAACACTAGCTATCAAGATTTGTTTGCTTGTTTTTAACAATGACTGGAGAAACACGATTTTACCTGAATATATATGGTCACTCACTGTCTGGGGCCGCGATTGTTATTTCAAAAACGAAACCAGATTGGCCGACGCGTACCCTAACTCAGTGGATGGATGATCTGACAGGATTACTTCCGGTTGAGTGATTCACATCTACACCTACCTGACAGAGAAACCTAACATGTATAGTAAAGAGAAACTCACCTGTGTCTATCTAGCCATGAAGATGTAGGCATACATTTCAATTTCAGCAGGCAACTATTTTTACATGAGAGTGAACAACTGGGCCAAAATACTAAAAAAAAAAACTTCAACATTCAGTGTGATGGATATTTGAAGAGGTATGTATGCAATGGCCAAATAGTTATTTTAAAGTATAATGCCTCCTGTAAATAATGTTAATTTACAGTGACATTACAGTATCATTACATTACTTTGAATACAGTACATTTAAAGATGTGAATATTGTCTAGAAATAAAAATTTTAGACACTGCAAATAAATTTTTGAACTTTCTTACCAGGTTCTTAAAAATTCCAGCCACAATCAATCACAACAATGTATATACAATCACAGATTAAGCATATCAAGTCGCCAGTTGTTGTTTTTTTTACACACATGCACAGACATTATTTCATACTCTTAAATGTCGCAAGATGCATGAGAAATCTTTAGGCGTGCGACCACCAAACCATAATCCATAACAACTAAAGAACACTTTATTTAACCGTTCCTGATAAGAAGTGTGCGCTGCAAACACAAGCATTTTTGATGATTGTTTCTGTCCAGTCCACTCATTTTATTGCTTTTAACCACAGCTGTCGTCGGTTTTTTGTCTGTCAGTGGCAGCAGGTATGCGATAAAATTTAAAATTGAAGCCTGTACTGTCGATTCTGCCACCCAACAACACAAGAAGATGAAATTTTAAGGTCCTTGTGTAGCCAAGTCTGTGCTGTTTTGAATTGGCTGCCTCCAAGCCTTTCCATTGGTTTTGCCTCCATCTAACACCGGCATAAAAACAGTCTTAAGCTCAAACGCCTAATGAAGTGTTTAACTCTGGGATAGGTAACGTCGGTCCTGGAGTGCCGCTGTCCTGCAGAGTTTAGTTCCAACCCTAATCAAACACACATGAACAAGCTAATCAAGGTCTTCAGGATTACTAGGGCTACAGGTAGGTGAGGTTTTTTTTCAGAGTTGGAGCTAAACTCTGCATGACATCGGCACTCCAGGACCGACGTTGCCTATCCCTAGTTTACCTGATTGAAGCCCCATTTGTTTTCTTTCTGTAGAATGTATAAACAAGCTAGGAGAGAAGATTGAGGCAGCTGATCAGGAGAATCATCCTAACAGGTGCACAAAAAGCTTAAAATAAAATGTATTTGACCCTAGGAATACATTGCTAGTGTAAATCATATTGCTTATACATTAGAAAAATTCTGCTGGCTTTCCTGGTTGAAAATGCTCTAGAATATATTTTTGTAATTTCATCGTTGAATTTTTTTATTAGCAGAGTTCTTGAGCAGACACTTCCAGAGTCAGTCAAACTGCACTGTTAAAGAGAAGCCGATCCCGATGTTTTGCATCTGAATAGTTTCCATTTTAGATGCTTAAGGCATGTGGTTTGTGTTCTTTATGTTGAATTTACTGTTTAATGTAAGAAAATGTTCCAAATAAAAAACTTAGCCTTTAGACTTGTTCTTATGTACATCAACAATTTGAGCTTTGATGTTACTATGGACCGTAACAAATAGATGTAATACATTTTTAAATGTTTTAAATTCTATTTGATGTTCTGATGTTGTTGTTACAGAAATGTATTGCCAGTGTCTTGTTGCATTCAGTAGCTTCTAAATAAAGGAAACATATATATATATATATATATATATATATATAAATATAAAAGATATTTTATTGCATACTCAATTACAACAGTAACCTAAAAAAAGTGAATACACTGAATCTTACCAGTCGCCTCTGCTTCACTGAGATCTGAAATTTGATAAAACACCCATTTCACTTTACAAAAAATAGAAACTTTACAGCACAAGAGGTTATTTCTTATACAAACCTAATGATGCCACAACATGTCACGATATAATTTAATAATGGCTGCATAACATTATGCAGTGGAAATAGGACAGAAAAATAACAGCCAAAAATAAGTTTAGTGCTTAAAGTCTGATCAAATTATTTTCTTTTAAATTTATGCAATTCTGATTAATGGATATACTTTAACTTTATGGATGCAATGTTTGAAGTGTTTTCAAGTCGCCGTTATTCCTGTTCTAAATCAAAACTTTGATCCAATCAAAGTGCAAGAAGGGATATACTTCAGCACAGAGATGGAAGGAACTGGATGATTTACATGTTTTGGTGATGTTTGTGTGTCTATTTTGTCCCCGTTTCCTCCCCGTCTTTTGCCAGCAATGACACAAGTCCTTTTTTATCCAGCTCGATGATTTTAAGATGCTGTAAGGTCTTCAGTGCAGAATCACTGACTTTCATGTTCAGCTTCATCCTCTGAGTGCTTATTGGCCCCCTGAAGAGACAAGAATTAAAATATTTAAATAAAATGTATTGGATAACACTTTTATGGTATGAATAAAAATCACAAAGTTGTCTTAAGTTACAGTACATTATCAATCATGTTAGGGCTCAGGGTTAAAGGTGATGTGTTTGCACAAATATGACCAGACAAACCTGTCCTTATCTGAGAAGTACTCGGATAACTGCTTATAGAGCGTGTTGAGGTCATTCAGCTTCAAGTTACCACGTACACTCCGCGGGACAGTCTCAAATGTCCCCTCAGACACCTCGTCACACATGTTCTGTGCTGCAAGAGAGTGAAAAAAGCACAATCACTTTTTATAATTACTGATATTGACGCCTTGACAATGTGCCAATGTTACAATTGCTTAATGTTGATAGTCTTCTTCGGTCCTTACATTCAGTCTGTGCTTGAGTTTGAGGTTCTTCTGTATACGCGGCCTAAAGAAACAGAAACACATTCACCAACTCAAAGTAGCTTTTACCTCCAAACATCACAAATAATTACATTTTAATAAGTACATGCAACTGCTGTTCAAAAATTAGAGGGAGTAAGATTTTTTTTTTTAAGAAATTAAGACTTCTATTTAGCAAGGATGCATTAAATTGATCAAAAGTGACAGTCGAGACATTTAAATGTTAAAAAATATTTCTATTTTAAAAAAATCCTGTTTTTTTTTTTACTTTGTATTCTTCAAAGAATTCTGAAAAAATGTATCATGGTTTACTCAAAAATATTTAGCAGAATAACTTTTCAAAATTGATGAGAAGAAATGTTTCTTAAGCATTAAATCAGCATATTAGAATGACACTGAAGACTGAAGTCATAGAGACTGAGAATTCAGTGTTGCAATCACAGGAAAAAAATAATTGATTAAATTAGAAAAGTTATTTTAAATTGTAATAATATTTCACAATATTACTGTTTATATTGTATCTGATCAAATCAATGTAGCACTAGCAAGCATAAGAGACTTCTTACAATACCAACCCCAAACTTTTGAACAGTAGTGTAGTTGTGTAATTATGGTAATAAAAAGCTTTACAAAATGTCTAACCTCTACATTTAATGTGGCAATGGATGAGCAGAAAAAATCTCTCGCTTCTTGTTCTTCTTTTGTCAGTGGTGGAACCTTGAACAAGATTTCCCATTAGCATAGTCCAAACCCAAAAACCTTCATTTTTTCAAAGACTATTCCTGAACTATAGTGAAATCATTGTGTATGGCCTCTAGTGTAGTAAGATTAACATGGACTGTTTTGGTTTGTTAGATTTTGGCTGTTGTTGCACAACTGAACAAATACCTGCACATCTGCTGTGTTCTGCAGCTGTTGAACCAGCTGCACAGTGGTGTCCAGGTGAGCTCGTATTGAATCCATTGATCGTTTCTGTTCCGCCGTGATCTCCTCCACCTGCGTGCACAGGGCCGCATGCCGCGCTTTGATCGCCGACAGGTTCTCCAGCAACTGAACAGGGTTTCCCTGAAATCCACAACCACAGATTTAGAAACACAGACTCGGTCAGTATTTAAAATTAAAAAATGAATACGAACGTACCTCAAACGTGCCCGCTTCTCGCACATTGGCCATGAAGTCAAATTTCAGCCGCTTTTCCACATATTCTATATCAGCTTCTGCTTTCTGGAACTACAAGGACACAGACCTAAACATCATAATTCAGTAAGCATTCACAAGATTTGAATCGGGGTTGACTGCTGTTTGTACGCTTTAGTGGCCCATCTGAATGAGGGAACAACCTAAAACCTGAAACCCTATTAGCAATATTGCACTACTCTGAACACAGTGGACAGCAGAGGCAATACTAATAGGGTCCCAAGAATTAGGATTAGACATGACTTGTAAAACATAGAAGACAAACCACAATATGCCAGATGAGACGGCGGGCGCACCTCTTTGAAAACTTTCAAACATTGTGCAAAGCTGCTCTCAGATGCTTTGACAATACTATTGCACTGCTAGCTGTCCAATACAGTAGTGCAATGAAGTCAGAGCACATGTTAACAGCACTTGATGTGGCTGGCCACGCTGTTGACCCTACCTTTGAGAAAAATCCCTGGCCAATGCCCTTTTAACATTGCACTGCTTTAATAACTGGGTTATCAGTAGTACAATATAAAAGGGGCACTGGACAGACGGTACACATTCAGGGCGGTCCATTTGCATGCTGAAATATCCAATCATGTAAATAATGTCAACAAAAAGCCTGGGAAGAAAAACACAGCTGTCACATAAACATTAAAACATTATAGTGTTGAGATACAGATATGTAGATGTGTCATAATACAGGCAATCATTTTAAAAGTGAGTGTGTTTATTGTTATGCTATTTTGTTCATTATAGCTATTTTGCATTTATCTAATTTAATAAGTAACAGCCGAAATTGTTCAGAGAGAATTTTATATTTTTACTCAAAATAACTAAAATACATTATCATTAGGCATTTCTGACACTGGCAGTGTAGTAAAGTTACTAATGCTAGTTCGCTACAAAGAGCAACACTGCGCCCCCTATCGTCTCCACTTCCTAACGATATTTGAACTCATGAAAAAAAAATTATATTATTGCATATTATGGTTTTACTTAAACAGAATACCAATATAGCTTTTATGAGATTTTGTAGGCATGCTAATAATCAGTCTAAACTTTTACGAAGAGGACTGTGCTTCTTCCAGAAGCAATGGACACATTTAATATAAATTGATATCAGTTAATAACAATTGCTACAATAACTGGTGTTTATATAAACCCATAATGTTTACACATATTTAAATATCTAATGGAATAAGGTATAAGGAGTAAGTGCGGGATGCAGCGCGCAGTCTCGCGGACTCACGCACAGCACAGGCCCTCCCGCAGCCGCAGCCCCTCACCGCGCTCAACGCTTCACACAGCAGCCATCGAGCCAAATGAACACTTTTCGGAATGAATGCCATGGTTTCTATTCAAACTATGCACATTATAGTAAATTAATCATATTAGGGCTGATTTTTGCTGTAAATACAAGTAAAAAAAAAAAGACATTAGCAGTGGCACTAGTTAGCCATCCAGCTACATGTTTTTCGTAATTTTCCAACGTGAGGGAAAGTCAGAGGCATTTACAGAACATGTAATTCTTCATGTTTGTTCTACATTACGTTGTCTATCGTAAAGGCACCTGTGTCACTAACAGTTAGACGCGTACGGTCGGTTTACACTAGAAAACATCTGATGGAAACGTTTGGCTGAAAAAACAGCTTACCATCGCCTCCAGTTTATCAACTGTCTCCATGTTGAATAGTTTACATTCCTGAAGCAGCCCCGGAAATATAAAGCTCGCAGCAGAACGCAAGACCTTCTCTGATTGGTCAGCTGTCAGAGCGCGTGGAAGATGATTGGTCAGTTCGGAGGGCGAATGAGTGGAAAAGGGATTGTATGTTCGGGATGGAATTCTAACGTACTGCCTTGTACGTGCTACACAGTGTATGTATAATGCATAGTATTTAAAATTGAGTATAAAATATGTATTGTGAATTCAGTGTTGTTGTTGTTTTTTTTTTACTTTCGGCAGTCTGTTGATGCATGCATGCAAAAAATGTTGTATTATATATTACACTTAGTCATACTCTGCACAATATGAATACTCTATACATGATATTTGTAGTACACAAATATTTAGTCCAAGGCCTTGAGAATTACAGGAAGAGACCTATTTTAATCTCCAAGATGTAATGTTCAGGTCAGGGTAACTTTAAAATCATGCTCCTGGATGCTTAAACAAATTCAGTACTAAAACTGAAGTCTTGATGACAGTTAATATTGTACTATTTAAAAAAAAGTTTATTAAAAGACTAAGAGTCATTTAAAAAAATAAAATATATATGACGTCACTTTGTAGGCCGATCGGCTGTTAGCATCACACTGGTTCCCCATAGGCTTTTGGATTATCGCAAAAAATAAGCTCTGTGTTCAACCATATTTCGTGAAACTTACACGTTTTTTCCATCAATAAAATCTTCACAAA